GTGTTAAGGGGATAGATGAAGTCCCAATTATATATGTTAGAAGGTTCAGCGATGGATGCAACAACAACTTATGGTTCAATAATCAATAACTTGGGTAGAGTTGTTTGTGATCGGATTGTTTGTGGTGATTCAAACAATGATATTGGAGAATCTTCTAGTAGCTCAAGTGGAGATTGTTGTGATCTTGTTGATCATGTTGCTAATGGTGATTCGAGTAGATTTAGCAACTCAGGTAGAGTTGGAATTACTCGTGATGATTCAAGCAGGTTTATTGACACGACTAGAGTTGGAAATGAACGAGATGATTCAAGCAAGGACGACCTGCAAAATAGTTATGATGGTAAGCAGAGTTTGGATTTAGTTCACAGTTGTTGAGTATTCCCAGTAGGAGCATGGGGTGTCTGGAGGGGACATGGTGGAAGAGTTGGAGAATAACTTGAATAGTGAAGACTTAAATCCTTGCTATGGAATTTGTGTCAAAGTGAAATTTGTTATGTTTTGTGACTCAAATTCCATGTTATTTGGAAGTTTGATTCATGGAAAATGCCTGGATAATTTTATTTTAGAATTATGGTTTAATAAGGGATTAAATTTCATCATGGATTGAGAGTTTGATTGGAGTAAAGACTTTGGGATCGATGAAAAAGTGCTTTGAAAGGATAAGGACGGAGGCAAACAGGGGATGGGCGCCACAGCACTATTAACACTATTTGGGAACGACAAGGCCAGAGCTGGCGCAGGGGGAGGAATTTCACTCCTGTTTGATTTTTGATGTTTTTTTTGTTCTACGTTATTAACTCCAAGATTTGGCTTTCATAAATACTCCACAAGATGTAGGCTCTTTAGAGACTCAAGATAACAATTAGATCATTGTTGTATATATTTGAAACTTGAGAAAATTATTTAAATTTAGATTAAGATAATCAAATCTTGAAAAGACAATTTTAGTTTCGTGATAAAATAAATTATCATCTTCTTCCACAAAATTCTCGTTGTTGTGTTATCCATTATTTTTCATATTTTTCTCAACAAAATGGTATCAGAACGATAATCTAAGCCATTCATCACGTCTGATGCTTTGTCTTCTAAGGCTCAGATTAGAACATGTGACACACACACCCTCATGCATCTGTAATCCATAAAGTGCGTGAGAGACAGCCAAGATTGCACATTAAATGAGGCGATGGTTATGTGTATTGGAATTTGTACCACCTCATCCTCATTTTTCTTGAAAATGCACCACGACATCAAATCATTGGGGCGCTATAGTTAAGGACGCCTCATTTTTCCAAAAGACATTAAAACACCTCGTAATTATCTATCTGAAGCCCTATGTACTTCACAACCTCATCTACAACATCGGTTATGTGAAGGCACTTCGGATACATCCACTTCGGTAGATTTTCCCAAAATCATTCCTATGATGATATATTATCAAATCAACCACTTCGGAAACCACTTACATAAGATCTCCAAAGGTCAGATACATTCTCAAATTCTAACAATTACATAAATAATCATGCTTAGACTTAGGAGACTATTGTGATATGGAAAAAAAAGAACCATCCCCTACGAAACTTTTTTCTTATTTTCACAGTAATTGAATAAGTCTATGCATTACATAAATAATCATGCCTAGACTTAGAGGATTATTGTTACTCCTTGCCTTCGAGTCCCAGTGAAACAAGGTAATGTAGCACGACACATGGGCCCATAGTCAACAAGAAAGTCAAAAGAAGACCTAGGAGGTCAAACACACAAATAATACAAAGTAAGCTGATGTCCTCGCATAAACGTCCAAAGTTCTCACACTGCATGACGAAGTCCAGGCTAAGGTACTTCTTCAAAGACGAAGCTGCCTAATGAAGTTGAGAAAGGAGTTGAAGTCCTCCACTTAAGAGAACCATCTCAGATCTCTCAAAGGCTCTCCAACTCATCCGAAGCTCATAAGTCGACACTGTCTCTTGTAATAGATTTAAAGATCTACTAGAAGTGAGTGATGTAACACTTGTAATAAAATTGTCAGTGTGTCAGCCTATTGTATAGGGTGGTTGACATTTTATTAATGTATTAATTGTATGAATAGACAGTGATGTGATGCCCCAATTTGAGAGATGAGGCCATGTGGTTCTGATCCAACAGAGAAGACATCGGCCAATGCAGTATAAATAGATCCCCTTTGTAATTAAAGGGGACGATGATTGATAAAAAAAGAGAGATAATCACATATGTTCACATTATTATATAGATTAATTTGATTTCAACTCAACAATTGTTGTTAGTGTGATTGCTTCGTTCCACCCGTCAGAGCTCGAACAATTTTGTCTCTTGTAGCAAAGTAACTCCAGTGTCCATTTCCTTATTGCTACTGTCATCATTTCGGTAAGAATGTGCCAAAATCGTTACTTGACTTGGCGTGAGTGAGTCCAGCATCTGTTAATTCATTTTTTGGGGTCAACACAAATCATCACCATAACCCTAACAGCCTGAAGCAAAATCAAAGGAGAGAATTCATTACATTTTGTCAATCACTCAATAACCTTAATCTTCTACAAATTACATTAGCATTCTAAGAATCCAAGCATCCATTGGCAGATAATTCAAGGGCAAATGACAGGACAGTCACATGCACAACTCTCATGCCCACTAAAATCATCATGATTGAATAGACTAAGACGCTTTTTGAAAAGCAGAAGAAACAGAGATTTCATATCGCTTTCATATAAGCAAAACAAGATGATGAAAAAGGGGAACAGACTTCTTATTGACTCATTACAATGGAGAAAATCTAGCATTACATTTCAGCACTTGTGGTAGAAGAAATCAAAGAAAAACAAAGAGATTCCCATTCCCTCATTTATGTACATAAAGCAATTTAAAAATTTTCCAGGAAAAGCAACAAAAGGAACTCCCTAATTACTGTGAAAAACTCAAGCACCAACATTAAATGGGGAGGGGGGATGCTAGAAAACCAGGTTAGAAGGTAAAAAAAAAAAAGAGGTGTTACCGCAAAACATGCTTTCCATCTCTCAAGTTCAATCCGTGCGGTTCTTTGCTATGAGTTTGTTGTCTCTGTTGCCACCACCATTGCTATCACTACTGTTGCCGCTATCTTTCTTCTGTCGCAAAGAAAATAAGCCAAAAATCAAAATCCAGAGAGCAAGATCCTGTCCATTGAGAAATCAAGGCATCAAATCCCCTATTATTTCATTTTTTTTTTTACTTTCATTAAGTAACTAAATGAAAGTGGCCTATACTTTCTGAAGAATTATTTTAGTTTCTATTACAATTAAATCATTGGAATGTACTCTTGAGTCTTGTCTAAAACTTTTCAATCAACGTTGTAGGGGTATAAAAATGAAAACGTGCACCAAATCACACCCACATGAAGAAGCGCCGGTCCAAATCGTAGAAGGATGAAGACAGTAGGATGATGAAACAATTGTAGTCGTCGATAACGAGAATAGTGAGATGCTAGTGATTTCGTTGAATGCGACGAGTAGAAGAGACAATAAGGTAAGGATGATGATTTCAATGGAACTTGGATAGTTATGTATTGAAAAATCATCAAAAAGTGAGAATAGAATTTTACATTGTCTAGACATGGGGTAAGTAATGAACTTATAAGAGATTGTGCTACTAAAGTCCAAAATCGACTATATTGACATACAAGACAAATCCTTAGTTGTCGCTAGACAAATGTAGGGCCCCTTAAATTGGATGGTGATGGGAAGAAAACTTTGTGGTTGGCTCTCAGAAGGCAATTGTATCAATGTAAGGCGATAATTCAAAAGTTGGGCTGACAGATAGATTATCGCTTGTGGAGCTGGGTGCAAGATGACATGGTACTTCATTCGAGGGGTATTGTTGAGAAAGGAGGAACAAAATTCACATAGGCCAAACATAAAACAATAATGGGTTTACATGGAATTTAGCTATTCTACTTGATGGGTAATTCATGAACATTTTTGAAACAATGTTCGCTTATGATCACTATTTGAGAATGTAACCAATGATACCTCTATAAGGTGTCCTTCAAAATGAGGCACAAACGAAGTGGAATTTGGAGGAATTTTATGCTTGTTTTTGAATGACATAGATAGTGTACTTTTTTATATACCTTTTTTTTGTTCTAGGGTAAAGATTGGCGGGCATTTTTATATACCTTTTTTTTGTTTGGTAGAGATTAAAATTGGATTAAAATTGAAAATAAGAAAACTTTGTGGTTGGCTCTCAAAAGGCAATTGTATCAATGTAAGGCGATAATTCAAAAGTTGGGCTGATAGATAGATTATCGCTTATGGAGCTGGGTGCAAGATGACATGGTACTTCATTCGAGGGGTACTGTTGAGAAAGGAGGAACAAAATTCACATAGGCCAAACATAAAACAATAATGGGTTTACATGGAATTTAGCTATTCTACTTGATGGGTAATTCATGAACATGTTTGAAACAATGTTCGCTTATGATCACTATTTGAGAATATGATACCTCTATAAGGTGTCCTTCAAAATGAGGCACAAACGAAGTGGAATTTGGAGGAATTTTATGCTTGTTTTTGAATGACATAGATAGTGTACTTTTTTATATACCTTTTTTTTGTTCCAGGGTAAAGATTGGCGGGCATTTATTTATTAATCTTAATTATACAACACCGCATGCCTCCAAATCCAATGAAATGAATACACACAACTCAGTCACGTCCAACCAAAAAATGTAATCTTCGCTGCTTTTCTTGGCACCTCATTTTTGAATTCTATTCTTCTTTCACCGCAGGTAATAATGCTATTTTGTTCATACTGAAATTCAGACTAGATACCCTTATTTGTTTCTATAATCGTTTAATGTTATTATTAATACATTATTCTGTGCCGTAAAGTCCTATCATCTATCACCGATTCGTGGCATGTAATGTAATTGATTGATTGACCATTCATGAATAGAGAGCGACAAAGAGGTTTAGAAGATAAAGTGATCTGTGTGGGAACCGAACAGAGTTATGGGCTGTTGTGCATCAAAATTTCCACCCACCGAGACACACCCAGAAAAAGAAAAGCCGGACCAAAATCCCGCCCCGCCCCTACCACCACCGATCTCCACCGGCGCTCCACCTGAGCCCGGAACAGAAGCCACCAGAGTCCCGTCTTTCTCGGAGTTCTCACTTTCCGACCTTAAAACAGCCACTAATAACTTCAGCCCTAAATTGATTGTCTCCGAAAGCGGCGAAAAGGCGCCAAATATTGTTTATAAAGGTCGCCTCCAGACCCGCCGGTGGATCGCCGTCAAGAAGTTCCCCAAGTTATCCTGGCCAGACCCTAAACAGTTTGCGGTATTATATTATCACAACAGCATTATATAAGTGTATATATTCATGATCTAGTTCTTAATACTTCGAGGGCTTTGTGTCTGATAAAAATAATTCAGCTCGATGATTTTTTTTATTTTTTGGGTTGTAGGAGGAGGCATGGGGAGTAGGGAAATTGAGGCACTGGAGGCTGGCTAATTTGATAGGTTATTGTTGTGACGGTGATGAGAGGTTGCTGATTGCAGAGTATATGCCCAACAATAATCTTGCTAAGCATTTATTTCACTGTATGTATTACTATGTTCTCGGCTTTTTGCGAAGTTGAGCTAATAACTTGGCAAATTTAATTATTTTTCCTAGGATGCCGAACGTTTATCAGTTAGATTTTTATGCAATATTTGTTGGAGATGTGAAGTTGGTTTGAACGTTGAAGTAGGAGTAGCATTTATCATAGTATGATAGAACTATGGGCGAAGTTAGAAGAATATGATCTTAATGAAGATTGAAGAACGAAAACTGATGCATATATATTCACAATGAGTCATTTTGACCTGTATTCTGTGTGTTCATAACCTACTCCAATTTAACAGGGGAAAGTCAGACCATCGGGTGGGCCATGCGCTTGAGAGTAGCTCTTTACATAGCTGAAGCCTTGGAATATTGTGGCAGTGAAGGCCATTCATTGTACCATGATCTCAACGCCTACAGGGTTCTCTTTGATGAGGTATTAGCACAAGTCCCTTTCTAATCAACACCACTCAGTGTGTGCTTTATGCGAATGTTGTATAAATATTGCTCTCCCAAATTTATTTTTTCTGAACCCAAAATTTGAATATTTGATTGGAATTGTAGGATGGTGATCCTCGGCTTTCATGCTTTGGCTTGATGAAAAATAGCCGAGATGGGAAAAGTTATAGCACAAATCTTGCCTATACCCCCCCAGAGTACTTAAAAAATGGTGAGCACTTATCTAGATTGAGTTTATATTTCTATTGTAGGAAAGTACTTTGTCTTCTATGCGTGTGCATGAATGTGTAAGTGTGAATCTATCTGGCCTTATTGTGCTTCTAGTCAATTGGTCACAATAATCATATGTTAAACTGAAACATTCTTATGTCATTATATTTCGCAAAGCTGGAACACATGCTTATTTCATGGCTACGATTGACATAGTATATTTATGCTTTATCAGTGGTTTTTTGGGTGTTCATATTCTCAGAGCTCCACCACATTCTTACCTAGTGACTTTTTTATACTAGTATCTAATAAGTGATGTTGAGATGTTTGACATAAGCACTTCCTCTTAAACCTGCACCACAAGTTAAGCATTGTAAGCAATTATGTAAGGTGCTTTGAGTATGAGCAGTTGACATGATGCCCATGGTTAACTTGGGAATCTTTGAGTAAGTGCTTCTGCATTGATGTATTGCTTAATGTGACGTAAGGCTTGCTTTATTGCTGCTACTGTCATAATATTGCTAATTTTGTTATCTTAGGTAGCATGTATTTATATAGCTTTAGACATGCTTTTATGGTAAGCATTGTTTTTTTCGTGGAATAAGATAAAGATAATATGATGGGTCTTTGTTTCATGACTAGAATTTTTTTTCTCTTAATTGACTGTAATCTGTTCATTGTAGGAAGAGTAACCCAGGAAAGTGTTATATACAGCTTTGGCACTGTCCTATTGGATTTGCTCAGCGGAAAGCACATCCCTCCAAATCATGTTAGTTAATTGTCTTGACATAATTTAGCAGTATCCGTTGTACATTTTTACGCCTCTTTATTCCTGTGTTGACCGATATGGTCTAGCATATTGGCGGCTTCTTGCAGCCAAATATGGGCACTAATGTCAATGAATACACTTCGAAACCTGTATTATTACAAGGCATGCATACATTTAATGGTGGTGGTTTAGGCATGGAGTCCTTGCTCTATTACATATGATATTTCAATCTTCTCCACAACCAGTGCTATTCGAAACGGCTCAAATCTATAAAGTAGTTAAACATATTTTCAATGATAAGGCTAAGAATGAAGAGGACTTCTTTGCCATTTAAAAGATGAGCACTATTACCCCAACAGTGTCAGCATGATTGCATCTTTTCGATTTCAGTAATTTCTCCTTTTCCTTTTTGTGATTTTTGAGCTAATCTTCTTATTGGAGAGGCCTGTGTACCTTAAATTATGATATAAATCCTGCTATAGTTTGTTTATTTCTGCTTGTATGCAGGCTCTTGATATGATACGTGGTAAAAACATCATTCTTTTGACGGATTCGCATTTAGAGGGGAAATTTTCTATGGAAGACGCTACAGTAGTTGTCAATCTTGCCTCCCAATGTTTGCAATATGAACCTGGGGAAAGGCCAAATATAAAGGATCTTACCACTATTCTTTCTCCACTACAGCCAAAATCTGATGTAAGGATCTTAAACCTTATCTCCATATAATTAATGATACATTTTACAAGCCCATGTTGTCATAGCTTCCTCACAATCCAATAAGTTCTTACAGAAATATAATAATGCAATTGTATATTTAATCTTTTTTCTCTCTCTCTAATGTATTGGGGAAAAGCAACTGGAAAAGTTTTATATTGGTATTTGTAACGATCTAGTCAGAAGTTCCCAGATCAATACTTCAATAACTAGTTCTATTTGTAACTGTTGCATGCTAATTTTATTTTGAAGCTAATCACGCTGTAAATGAAACAGTTTACTCTAGGTAATGAAGGTAGTGATCTGCTTCAGTTATAAGTATTTCTCTGAATTGGTTCCCATCGCTCGAGTCTTAAGAGTGTCAAAAATACTTATTCTCTACTGTCATTTCAGCAAGATGTGATTGCCACGCAAATTTAGATTTTCGTGTACAGAACCTTGAATGTTTATTACCGTTAAAGGAGCAGTGTAATCTAATTATTTATTTTTGAAAATTGCATCTCATCCTCAACTGTAGAGATAATATGTAAATGATTAAAATATGCTCACATTCCTTCTCGTATATACAGAAGGAATCGGTATATTTAAATTCCGATTACCATGATTTTGGCCTCAGGTTCCGTCTTTTATCATGCTTGGAATTTCTAAGCACAAGGAAGCTCCACCAACTCCACAACGCCCACTTTCACCAATAGGTGAGGCCTGTTCGAGGATGGACCTCACAGCAATACATCAACTTTTGGTTACCATGAACTACCGGGATGATGAAGGAACCAATGAGGTAATTTACTTGTCAAATTAGGATGTGTTGCATTCCTTGCACTTTGAATTTCATTTCGTTGAGTCCGTCATTTCTTCAGTTGTCTTTTCAAGAATGGACACAGCAGATGAGAGATGTGTTGGAGGCAAGGAAGCGTGGGGATTATGCGTTTCGTGATAAGGACTTCAAGGCTGCAATCGACTGTTACTCTCAGGTTTGGATTCCATATTTTTGATTGAATTGTTGAAATATGATTTATATCTTTGTGGGCCTGAACAAGTTATGCCGTGAATAGGCAGTAACCTAAAATCCAGGACCAAATAAACATAAAGATAAAAATGCATAATCAAGAAACTAAATGGTGATGCTTTTCACTAGCTGTCTGTCTTGCTGGAATCCAGAAAGTCAAGAAATAATACCTTAACCTACCCATGATTAACCATCATAGTTACCTAGAACATTTGGTATGCACTCTTTAACTGATATGCCAGATAGGTCCACCAAGTAGTATGGACACAAAATTGGATGAATATGTTAAAACCAGGTAAAGAGTTACAGTGGCAGATGCACTTATTCTTGCATGGTCAATTAAGCTTGCATTTGATAATTTTACTTGTAAAAATAATGTATGTTTCATGCTATAATGGACAGCGCATACATGAAAAACCTGCATCTGTGGATCTTTGGAATGACAAATAACTTATAACTTTATGTTTTTCCTTTTGCACGGTCAGTTTATAGACATGGGAACTATGGTTTCCCCAACTATTTATGCACGGCGCAGTCTTTGTTATCTCATGTGTGATCAACCTGATGTTGCTCTTCGGGATGCAATGCAAGCACAAATTGTCTATCCAGATTGGCCGACAGCCTTTTACATGCAGTCAGTTGCCCTTGCCAAACTGGATATGCATCAGGATGCAGCTGATATGTTGAAGGAGGCTGCTGGACTAGAAGAGAAGCACCAAAATGGTGGGAGAACATCATAAGAATGAATCCTATTGCTAGATAATGGATGAATTTGTGTCTTTCTTTTAATCGAGTTTGTAAATTGAGTAAGAAAGTAGTTTTAACTCTCTATTGTGAAATGTATCATATAACATAAATTGCATCAGTAAAAGCTTCATTTTTCTCAAAGTTATGGTTTAGGCCTTTATGAATGTAGTGGTGTTTAGTTTTCATGTATCGGGTAACTATGTTGCGAGTTCTGGTTGAGGGTAGATCAATAACTATTTGCCAATCTATATATTTGAGAGGAATGCTGCGTAGTACCATCGTTGTCAAATAACATTATTTGGCTGGAAAATGAAGGTAGTCTTTTTGTTGACAATTTGAAGTATCTTGTAACATTAAACTACCAAACTTTCAGCATATTCGAAAGATATTCCAGATCCTACCAGCCTGTTTTCCATTGATTTTGCAGATAATTTATTTGTGCAATCCTGCAGGTCATATACATCAGATATTAGAATGTCAATGCCACTCGTGCACTAGAGTAAAACAACTAAAAGAATTAGGTGTTTTCGGTTGCACACCGACATGGTGGTTCCAAATTAGATGTTTTGTCTACTTCTAGTTGTCTGGCGTACATCGTCCAATTGAGTTGAGATCTATTGTTTTGTCTTACTAATATTTGACATGTTAGTAAATCAGCTCTTGTTAGAAAATGAGAATATGTTATTTTAATAGTATCATCTTTTCATTAACTAGTAAGGGTTAATTTACTGAGGTGTATAACCATTGGGACAATGAAATGGAAAATGGAGACACAAGTGCGGATCCATCCCACAAAGGAAACTTTTGGGAAACATATGAAGTCCTGGGCCTAGGGGGGGGGGAATAATAGTGCTAGCATTTTCATTGTTGAGGAGGCAGGATATATAACAATTAACAATGGCCCGCCATCGTGTGTTATGCACCAATCAATTGCACGGATCATCCTCCAAAACCTTTTAGTATGAAATGATATTAATCTCGTTCCCTGATGGTGGCAAAAAATGCATGAACATCGCCAGTATAGTAGCAAATCCAGATCAAAATCACATTGCTCATTTAAGACAACATACATCAAGATTCCTTTTGTTCCCTTCTCCCCAATATATATACACCAAGCTAATGAATGAGGAACACCAACACACAAAGAACACAGAAATTGGCAGCATCACCTTTGAGATCTGAAGCCCTTCACCACGTCCGTTCTCTTAGCTTTCCCTTTGGATCACATCCTTCCATCACTCAATTTTACGACTTGTCCAAATTAGGAGCTTCAGCTGCTACCCCTTCATCATTGTCTTCAATGAGAGACATGATGAGTTTTCTCGGTAACTTGTATGAGAATATTGACAAGTTGCTTCTGTTTCCTCACATTCAAAGAATAATTTCAGAGAGTTCCAAGATAAGCGCGTTGATGAAATCTTGGATGAGCATATCATGTTAAGGAATGTCGAATCAACCAATGCATAAAATCTGGGATGCCGCTGATTTGTTCCCTGTTTAGTTTTTATAGAAATGTAAATAGGTATTTACGGTATATATGCACTAATTTAGGATCTAAACTAGCCATTGTGTTGTATATATTTTCCAATGTAATAAAAAAGGAATACACAGAGAAATTCATTTTTCCTTTTCATGGTATCAGAGAGGACACGGTTCTGAACCTTTTTTTTTCCTCTTTCTCACATCCAAGAAATTGCCAACCTTCTAGCCAATACACATGGCAGAAACAGATGAAACTCAAAACTCAGCCAAGTCTGATGCCATCAAGTTTGATAATCCAAACGATCCTCTTTACCTTCATTATTCCGATCAACCTGGGCTTGTATTTGTCACACAGTCGCTGAATGGCGAAAATTACAGCACTTGGAGTTGTGCTATGCTCATGGCTCTCAGCATAAAAATAAAGAAGGCTTTGTCACTGGCACCATCAAGCAACCATCAGAGACTTGCACCACAGAACTTCAACAATGGAGGCGCTATAACAATCTTGTAAAAGCATGGCTTTTTAATTCAATCTCGCAAGATATTGGAGCAAGCATAATATACAATGAAAGTGCTCATGAAATCTGGTGTTAGAGGACAGATTCTACTTATGGATCCACTCCGTACCGTCAACAAAACTCATTCCCTCATTCTCCAGGATGAAAAACGGCTAGGAATGTCGAGTGGAGGCGCACCATTGGCTGAAATCTCGGGTTTTGCAGTGAAGAACAACTCAAAGAAATTTGAGAGAGTTTTCACACCTAAGAATCCTCATCTGAAATGTGGAACTTGTGACAAAATTGGGCACACCTCAGAGACATGTCGAGCACATCTCAAATGTGATTATTTCGGTTGGCAAGGTCACACCATTGATGTCTGTCGAAAGCTGCAGAAGACAAATTCTACAAGCAACAAACCTGATCAACGAAAACGCAAGAATTTTTCTTCCAAGGCCAACCATGCAGATACCAATACACCTTCCACGTCATTCACTCTCACACCAGAACAATATCAGAACCTCATGACACTACTTGCTGGGAATAAGTCCAATTCAATGGCCAACCATGTTGGTAGTGCATCCTCCATAAGTGATCTCTCAGGTACAATCTTCCGTGCTTCTGTTATTGATAAAGAAATGTGCTGGATACTTGACACAGGAGCTACTGATCACATGGATTACTCAGCTGATCTGTTGACCACAAAATCCTGTGTTACCAATCGATGCGTGCACCTACCTAATGGAACCATTGCGACTGTCGCACACATAGGCAGCATTCATTTTGCCAATTTCAGCCTGCATGATGTGCTATGTGTCCCTTCCTTTAAACTAAACTTGATTTCCATTAGCAAGCTTGTGCACAATTCCCACTACCTCGCTACATTCACTAATAGTACTTGCATGCTACAGGACCAACATTCGGGGAAGATGATTGGGACGGGAACTGATCGAGGAGGACTCTACTACTTTGATACTCCACAGAAAACTAAGTGTAACGCAGTCACCGCACCAGCCTCCTGTTCCCCGAGACTTTGGCATCAACGCCTTGGTCATCCATCAAATAAGATTTTTAGTTTGCTTTCTCATTCAATTACAGACATGGAATTTTGCAATATTTCTGATTGTTTAATTTGCCCATTAGCTAAACAAACTCGTTCTCCATTTTCAATAAGTTCTATTCGCACTAAAGCACCTTTTGAATTAATTCATGTTGATATTTGGGAGGGTACCATGCTCCTTCAACTACAGGGGCACAATATTTTCTTACAATTGTTGATGATTATACTCGTTGCACATGGACTTATTTGATGCATCATAAATCAGATACTCATTCATATATTACCAAATTCATCAATCTTGTTGAAACACAATTCTCCTTGAAAGTTAAAATTCTTCGAAGTGATAATGGACCTGAATTTACGATGAGGAATTTTTACAAAGATAAAGGTATCATTCATCAAACTAGTTGTGTTTCCACTCCACAACAAAATGGAGTAGCCGAAAGAAAACACCGTCACCTCCTCAACGTAGCCCGAGCCTTATTATTCCAAGCCAATCTTCCCAAGCGATTTTGGGGAGAAGCCATCTTGATTGCTACTTACCTCATTAACCGAACTCCCACGCCTCTTCCTCAAGGGAAAACACCTTTCGAAATGCTTTTTCATAAACAGCCTGCATATGACCATTTGAGAGTGTTTGGCTGCTTGTGTTTTGTCTCAACACATCACCAACGTCCCAGCAAATTTGATCCAAGGGCCACCCGATGTCTTTTCCTGGGTTATACATATGCTCAAAAAGGTTATAGGGTTTACGATCTCTCAACTGGTAAAATTTTCGTTTCACGAGATGTTTTTCATGAGGATATTTTTCCTTTCCCATCTTCCGCTGCAAACTCACCTCTAATGCCTCATCATTCATCAACATATGGCGATGACAGCCCCATTCCTCAATTTTCCCTCAACATTGAAGTGTTTCCACCTGACCATCTATCCCAAGAACAAATTCATCCTCATTCAAATGGTGAAGCTTCTTCCCAAGCCATTCCTACACCTGTAGTTACTCCACCCATTGACCAACCTACCCTGACCTTGCCTTCGGATCCACAACTTCCCCCATCGCGGCCGGCACCTACTACAACTACACCTACTTATCTGCGTGAGTATCATGTTGGTATTTCTCTTCCTTCACGAAACGTCCCGACATCAAACTCTGCCTTGGCCGAAGCTATAGGGATCACCTATCCTTTAACTAATGTTCTTTCATATAATGGATTATCTCCCAAACACCATGCTTTCGCTACTTCTATTTCAGTCGAACAAGAATCATCTTCCTTTGCACAGGCAGTTTGTGATCCTAAATGGCGCCTCGCTATGCAACAAGAAGTTGCTGCTCTCAAAGATAATGGCACATGGTCTCTACAACCATTACCACATGGGAAGAAGCCGGTAGGGTGCAAATGGGTATACAATATTTTATTCCGCCCAGATGGCACAGTGGAATGGTATAAAGCCAGATTGGTAGCAAAAGGATATAACCAAGTCGAAGGTTTAGCCTACCAAGAGACCTTTGCTCCTGTTGCCAAACTTGTGACATCCTCCTTGCTGTGGCTTCAACTCAGCAATGGCACCTTCATCAACTTGATGTCAATAATGCTTTCGTGCATGGAGACCTTGACGAAGAATTACATGTCTTTACCTCCTGGTTTCGGATGAAATGGAGAGACACGGGTTTGCAAACTCTACAAATCATTGTATGGCCTCAAACAAGCTTCTCGTCAATGGTTCATTAAGCTCTCTACTGCTCTCAAACATGCCAACTTCAAGCAATCAAAGGCTGATTATTCCTTATTCGTCCGATCCCAGAATGGTAAATTCACTGCCCTCCTCATTTATGTGGAAGACGTCACTATAGCAGGAAACTATTTGCAAGACATTGAAGATACCAAATTATTCTTGAAGAATCCATTCAAATTGAAAGACCTTGGACAATTAAAGTATTTTTCTTGGAATAGAG